GCTCTCCCCTGGTGGGGAAGGCGACAAAGGGAGGCGGGCAGGGGTTGGGGGGCGCAGGCCTCGATCGGGGCAGAGCCTGGAGGCACCGAGGGGGCCGGGGGTGTGCGACGGAGGGCGGCGGCCCGTGTGGTGTCTTGCCGTGTTCCCTCTGCGCTCCGGGGATCCCTGTCCGCCGTCCGGAGCTGGTGTCCCCGAGAGCCCGTGGGTGACCCGGGCAGCCCGTATAGGAGCCGGGGGTGGATGCTCCGAGCCGAGCGTCGCCCCTCAGGGCGGGCAGGGCAGCCGGGGCTCAGGGAAAACGCCTTCTCCTGCAGAAACAGCACTCAGCAGAGCCACCCTCAGCAAACACGAGCACTTTATTGTTTTATTGTTGAACTTAAACTGTCTATTTATTTTCTTTCTCTTTCTGGGTCTGCTGGTCTGGGTGTGATGATTTAACTTATTTCTGCAGTGGCACCAGCGCTTAGGCTGTGGCTGAGCACGGTGGGGCAGGGAGGGAATGAAGAAAATTGTGTTTTGTTTGTGAAAGGAGGAAGGATATTTGCCCGAAAATAACCACGGTTTTCCTAAAAAATGCAAGATGTAAAACAACTTGGATAGGAGCAGTTGTCCCCGATGAGCTGAGATTTGTAGAACCAGCACAAATTCTCTGAAATTATGCATTTATTTGCAGTTACTATTATCTTTAAAACCTTATTATTTGCAAATTCAAAGCAATGGCGTGCAAATTTAGGAAGAAAGTTAATTTGTTATTTAAGGAATTATTGTGTTACTTTATCCTTATAAGGCATTTTTCTCTGAGGTAAGCGTGGGAATTTTTCTGTTTTACTAGAAATATGAACCTGCAAATCTTTTTACCATTTTTATATGTTTTATGCTATAAAAAAAAAGCTGCACTTAAAATGCCAGTAAGGGGCTGACTGCTAGATAGCATGGCTGCATTTTACACCTTTAAAAGTATGATTTTTGTGGTATAAATATCTCAGCTCAGAGACTGGAACAATCTAGAGCAGCAAATGTGAAGATGAGCTGCTGTGAATTCTGTTAAAGGGGTTGGGTTTTTTTGTCAGGGTGGATATTTCGATCCGTGTTTGTACCTCTCTTCAGCTCTGACAGATTTAGCTGTGTCAGCAGCGTGCATAGAGGTGGGCCTGACCTTGCAATCGCCTGAAGAAGTGCCTGCCAGTTTCCTCAGACTTTTCTCTCATGTCTGCTCCACCCTCCTTAGAACTGGAGAGGTCTCTGCTGCTTCTTCCTCCTCGTGTTTTAAATATGAAGGCCGTGGTTTATTTTTCCATCTGGTTCTTGCAGTTAGGGGGCACCATTGACAGTTCTGACCTGTCTGGCTCCGTGTGGGAGGTGTTGATTTTGGGAAAATGAGCTCTAAGCTACTGCGAAAACTCCCTGGTTTTTAGAACTTTTTTGTTGTCGTGTTAAATGTAGCTGCTGATCTAGATCACTCATTTCTCCTGATGGGTGCTGCATAATTCTGTAGAACCGCAGTCAGCTCCTGGGCTTTTTTTATGCTGCTTGGGAGGCTCTATGTGGGCTTGGTGCTAAGGAGTTGTCTCTGACCTCAAATTCTTTGATAGACAATCTGTCAGCTTTGGAAATTCCAGGAGAGTGGGGGAAAGAGGATATAGTGCCAGTGCATGGTGTCTTTTCATACATGTATATCAACCTTTCAGCTATTTGCTCCTGTTCTATGCTTGCTAGGCTCCTGGATGGAAGGGTACAGTTTTTATTGGGTTCTCATGATTGATGCCTTCTTTTCCAGGGGTTTGCCGCCACCGCAGCAGCAACAGATGCTGAGCTTACGGGCAACAAATCAGCCATCGCTGCTCAATGCCAATCCTATGCTTCAGCGGGCCTTACTCATGCAGCAGATGCAAGGTACTGTCGTTATGGGAAACGCTTACTTACTGGAGTTATTTAATCATCCTCTTGGACTGAAACCATACCATGGCTATTTCCTGCTGAACCAGTGCAGTTCTTGTACTTGGCAGTTCCGTTTGTTGTCTTCTTTCTTTTCTTTTTTTTTTTTTTCCTCTTCTCTTTAAATTAGTCCGTAGTTCTCAGAACAGAGGTTCTTCAGTTGTTGAAAATCACATGTGCCCAACTGTTCACAACTGGGAATAGTACTAGGAGATATCAGGTTAGATACTAAATACATGCCTTCCCTTTTAGGCTTGATGGAGCAAGTATTGTTTTCATCAATAGATGTAGATAAAATACTGAGATTTTGATTATTTGGCTGTCTTTCTTGGTAACAAGGTTAGGGCCATTTATTTAATTATCTGTTACATACACAGTAACCTTATTTGCAGTAGATACTTGTCTTTGTCCAAATTTAGTGTAGTGCAAACAAATACTGAGATAGAAGAAGGTTTGTGTGTCAATTGTATTGTGAAATTTTGATTCCCTGAAATTACTGTAATTTCTATGCTGGTTAATATCTCTGTCTTTCCATTATTGTGCTTCCACAAGGGGATATTCCTTTTCTTTTTGTGTTTTCAAAACAAATTTATGAAGCTGCCTTAATAATAGCATTACTAATGTAAAGATAGTAAGAATAAAGGTGTGTTTTTATTTTTTGCTCATGTCTTAACCTGACAGTTCTTTTCAACACAGCAAATCAGTACCTGGGACAGTTTTCAAGTGCCTAATCTAGATTAATGCCTGCAATTTCTACCTTGCCTGTGAATCATGCCCAGATGTGAAGACAAAAGATTTATTCTGCATGTCGTTAACTCTCCTTTTGTTCTCTCTTGCCCATTTAACGAGAGGGCTCTCTAGTGACTCCAGTGGCTCTCCACAGATTTCTCTCAGGTTGAAGGGAAAGTGACAGTGAGAAAGGACAAGCCATGCTCTGAAGATTGATGTACACATATCATTGTCAGGAAAAATTGTGACTCCAGCCTTCATTCAGCCATGCTCCTTCTAGATATGTTTGCAGTCAGCTGACGTTTTTCCCTGAATCTTTAATTGAGAAGTTGTATTTAAATAGTGTGCCAAGGACCTGGGGCTAATTAGATAGAGCAGGATAAGATATGTTAATGAATACTTTACATGCACTTTGTCTTAGTGTTGCTTCTCTTCACCTCTCCACGAAATTGTGACCCCTCTCAATAACCTATCTCAGGTAGCCACAGGTAACATGGAATATGGTTGCCAATGTCCAGTGTAGTCCTTTCTAGTGATATGAATTTTTTGGTCATTCAGGTTTGGGTTACATGTTTGAATATCTGATGCTGTGCCATTTCTCTCCCTGGGAAGCATCAGCATAAATTATTCATTGGCTGTGTGTGGCTTCAGCAGTGGGAATAGGAAAAGATAAATACTTCAAATTGAAACAGATGTGTAGTTCTTTAAAGGTACCAAACCAAGACCAGAAGATAATTTCTTGTGTTAGATTTATTTTTTTTAATATAGCTATGCCCTTTTACAGTAAGGGATTATATATGGGAAGTAATAATAGACCAGATTGCTTTTGAAGACAAACACAGAGAGTACTTCCTATTGTGTTGCAGATTTTTAACAGTAGCTTCGTTTTTCAGATGTTTGCTTCCAAACTTTGCTGCCCTGTTTTGACAGCAGCTAAAAGGCTAGAGTATGCACTAATTCAAGTGAGAGAGACAAAATGGCAATTTAAGTCCAGGTTCCCTACATGATGGATGGTTTCTGAGGGTATAGCTGAGGCATCTGGGCCCCTCCATTCTGTCACTGCTGAAATGGGGGTGACAAGGACTGTCTTCAGAAGAAATTTTTGAGACTTGATTAATAGTCTGTGGATGCTGAACTGTTCAGAAGGCAGAGCATTATAATTGGAAATGGCAGAGTCTCAAGTGTCAGAGTTGAGGTTGACATGTTGAGCTTGCATGACAATCAGGTGGCAAAGAGGACTGTGGGATTTATTTTTTTTAAAAAGTTAGGTGTCGTTTTAAATGAAATGCTGTTACTGGCTTGTGTTAAAGAGCTCCATGCTATGGTGTGGGCAGTCAGCTGCACAAATGTGGGGTGAATTTTCCTTTTTTTACAGAGAGTTTTCATAAAACGAGACCTTGTTTGTTGTAAACATGAGCACTAATTTGTCAGATCAAATAATTGCCCTAATGATCTTTGCCTGGAGTGACAATTATAATTAAATAGCTTGATCCATAGTAATGGTTGCTATCATGTAAAATCATTCTGTGTGCTGAAGAGGGTAGAGCACAGAGCACCAATACAGTACCCAGTAAAAGACTGGGTCATATGTAGAGGAGCCCTTCCCTTCTACCTGCTGCTTGTTCAGGTGGAAGATTTTCTCTCTGCACAGCGCAGGGTGGTGAAACGCTGTGTTTGCATTTATAGGAAACCTGCGTGGATTTAACATGACAGCGCCAGCACTGCAGCAGTTCTTCCCTCAGGCTACAAGACATTCCCTCCTGGGACCACCACCTGTTGGGGTCTCCTTAAAGCCAACTCGGCTGGGCTTCCCCAGCCTCCCATTCCAGCGGCAGAACCGGACCTTTCGTAAGGTGGGATTGTGGTTTCCAAGTGCTGGGGGGCTTTGTGCTCCTTTTACACTTGCAGCTGTTGACAGTATAGTAGGTGGAGAACAAAGGAAAAGGGAGAGAGCCTTACAAAGAAAATAATGTTTTACGCCATGCTGCTGACATGGAAATGCAGAAATCATTCCATCCCAAAGGCTTTTGTGGTCCATATTTACATTTATGATGCAAAGGTTTCTTGTCACTACTTGCCCAAGAGAGAGAATTCCCCATGATAGAGCTGTTTAAACCTAAGATATAAAAGGAGCCTTTAGAAGTATCAGCTTAAAAGTAATTACAATGGAAGAAATCCTTGCTAAGTGCTTTGCTGTTCCAAAGCAGTTTGTTGTTCTCAAACAACTTGCTCCTACTATGGACACTCTGCTTCTTTGGGCTGTTCTCCCACTTTTTAAGATCAAAATCGTATTTGTCCCAGTGGATTTTGTAAAATCTACAATTCTTGTTTTGTAAAAACCTTTCTCACTTTCCATCATTAAGAACTCTTTTGTATCCTGGAAATGTTTCTTGGGTTGACTGCTACTTGCTTCCTCTTAGATTAGTTTTGGCATATTTCATCCCATTCTGTCAAAAAGATGTAGTGGATTAGGAAAACTCACACTCTTGGACTGTCCTTCAGAGTCAAAAGAAGGGGGATTATTTTGGACTATCCTTTTCCCTGCCCATGCACCTCTTGCCAGAGTTCCTCTAATATGATCCTACCCTCTGCAAGCAGCTGGATTTCCTACAGCTGCTGCTAAAAGCACTGGGGACATGTCCTGGCTGCCTGTGAAACTGAAATGCTTTGCTCTCTTTGACCATGTAATCTTGCCTTAGGCAGGGCAGTCCATTGTAAGCCATCTATTCCTTTCCATTATCACATGCTGGAATTCCTGTTCCTGTCCCACAGTAAAACTCTGGTGTTCTAGGTAGTGTGTGTTAAGGACTAAGAGCTGGCAGTGACTCTCTCTGCCCATTGCAGGACTTCCAGAGGGTTCCTGACAGGAAGCGGGAACTAGATCCTGGTTCTTCATCTCAGACACAAGGTGATGAGAAAATGGAGATTCCAGAGGGAATGCAAGCAGGGTCAGAGCAGAACAATTCCTCACCATCCACAGGTAAGAGGGGGCCTGTAGTGAAACAACTGCTTGCAAATATGTTAAACTTCTCTTGACTGGTCCTGCAGCAAAAATTGGAGGTGACTTTAGGCTTAACCAGATATGTTTCTCTCTAATTGTAAATACTTAAAACTGCATGTGCTGGCCCTCTGCTGTGTGCTTCATGTACTACTTTAACCTGAATATTTTTGATTTTTTTATGAGCCTGCTCCATTTCTCTTGCATGGAAGCCTCTCAGAAGTCCCTTTGACACTGAGCTCTGTTTAAGATGGGGGGGGGGGGGAAACTGGTCTGAAATTAAAGATTCCACACTGCCTTACCCATGCTGAAGTCAACATCTCATGCAGCCAAACACATCAAGCAGAACCAGTTACAATCAGTATGCTAAGGAAAAGATGAGTTGAAAGTCCTGGTGCCCCAGTTGTCAAAACAGAAACTGCTGGCACTGAATATCTTAATGTCAGATACAGTACAGATGTGGGAATGTCATTTCTGACTGGAGAGTGCGTGATTTAAAACTGCAGGCTTTGATGAGGTTGTGACCAGGGAATATGCAGTGGTGAAGATTGTCTTACTAACTGGTTGCTGTCAGGTAGATGTGCCTTTTTGGCTTATATTAATGTTCCCATGATCATGGCTCTTGTCACTTAGGTACAGGACTGAGAGCCACTTAGTAGATATGAACATAGATTTCTTTTTTTTGACCAACACCTCATATAGTGACATTGCAATAAAACTCAAATATTTGAGGTCAATATCTAACCTTGCCAGAGCAGCTCATAAATTTAGAATAAGCAAGTATTTAGTATTATTTGCTCTAACAGAGCCTCATTGGCATTTGCTATTCCGATGTGGAATATGCTTAAGGTGGCACGGTCTCTTTTGCTAAGGAAATCTTCTGTGTTTCTGCAGAGCCAAGAACTCCAACAGAGTCTGTGTTGAACACTGAGCCTGCAGCAAAAAGACTGAAGAGGTATTTATTGAATGGGGTATTAAGATAGTTACTGAGTTTAAAATTATGGTCTAATTTTTTTTCTGATAATTAGGGCTGTATACTCCATTGGCCTGATGTCTAGTATGTAAGAGGTATTTCAGATGCTTGTGAACAGTTCAGAAAATCTGAACGTGGTGTTTGCTGAGATACTGGGTGTTGTGGGGTCTCTGCTAGGGGATCCAATTATGAGAATGAAAAATGAGAGATGCAGCTCATGTAAATGTGCAACAAAGCTGAGTTTGCTCGTGTATTCTCCTGCCAGGATCCTTGTAAGAAGCATAGAGGTTCTATTCTATTCTGGTGTATTTGTCTAAGTTTCTTCCCTAAATGTCAAAAAAGTGAAATGAACAGAAAGGGAAAGCCTTGGAATATGTTAGGTTACAGTAGGTGTAGGAGAAGGTAGTTTATTTTGAGAAATGGTAAAGGGAATCAATGCTCCCTAGTATCCAAGCCTGTATCCATGAGTGTTGAGTTCTGTATCTCTTCTGCAAAGGTTGCCAGTATCTCTGTCTGCTGGGTAAAAATAGACAAAGGCAATCCTATTATCCCCCAGGGATGCACGGCAGGCTGGCCTTGGCAGGCCCATCCCGGCTCTCCCGGCCTCCCGAGGGTGCGGCAGGGACAGGCAGGGCTGCATTGCCATCTAGTGGGAAGGCACCTCGCAGAGTTCCCGGTGCCATCTGCACCGGGCTGCTCCTCTCCCAGAACTGTCACCCTTGGCTGGTGTGGAGGGAGAAGAGGAGGGAGTGAATACAGATTTCTGTAGGCACTGACTTGAGAATTCTCCAGCATATGTTAACGACGATGAGTCAGGACTCCTGGGTCCTCTTACCTTCCCTGTTAGGCATTCACCGCCTGCTTTTGGACAAGTTTCCTCACTTTGCTTTTCCCATCTGTAGATTACAGATTAATGGATAGCTTTAGGGAGAATATTCCAGGATTACATGATCAAGGTAATATCTGAACATCAAAGTAAAACATTAAAGAGTGATAAATACTGTGTGCTTAGGGACCGTTGTGAGTTATGGACTCTGATTAGCAAGAAAGTGAATAAATTCAATTAAAGCTAGGTCTAATACATTTGAGTGTATGCTTTGTTAATCTGTTTGCCAAAGCTAATTTAATTTTAATTACATTAATATTTAGCAGGTTATTAATCAAAGTCCTATTACATGCACTGAAAAGAAGAATCAAGTTTGAGGAATGACAGCTCTCACTGCAGCAAGCCAGCTATTAGGAAAATTCTTTCCTAAGCTGCAGTTGGGGACTGCCAGATTTGATGCATATATTATGGCTGGTATTTACCTAGAATAGATTATTCCTTAGCTTTTTTTGAAGTGTTTCTAGTATCTTCCAATGAACAGATGATGGATCTGTAAAAAAAATCGTTTACTGTTCTCATACTGCCCTTCACAGATGACAAGGGCATTCCCCCATCTATGTCATAAACTTGTGTTTCATGCTTCATTGTTCCATTTCCCTTTAGCTAGGAATACCAGCCTCCTTCTTCATTTCAGGTTTTTCCCACTTCTGCCTTTGCTCCTATGTACCATCTGTACACCTGGAACAACATCCTCATTCCAGTGCAGAAAGCACTCATCATCTTCAAATCCTCCTTGAACACCCACTTCTAGCATGGCATGACAAGTATCCATAGAATACCGTTTCTTCTTTAAATCATGCTCGTGGTGGCTTTTGCTCCCTTAGATCGCTCCTTAGGTTTGCAGTTCAGGCTGCAAATCCTCTCCCTGAGTGCTGGCACCATCTGTGTGTGGTACCGTTAGCGTGGAGCCTGCTGGTAGCACCTGACAAATAATGGTAATGCCAGTCACTCCTGTTTAATTCGTGTTTGCAGTGCCCAAACCCTGCTGCATATTTATAGCCGTGTAACCCAGTTCCATTATCACTTATCAATCTGATAAATTATGCGGTGTGTGTGTGTTCGGATAACGGGATGCGGTACCTGCGCTATCAGCTGTCCTGCTTGTGCAGAAGGTGCTGCTCCCTCTTGGCAGAAGGACACCAGCAGGTGGGAATTTGAGCCGCCCTCAGAGCAGACAGTCAAGTTATGGTGGAAAGTTGGTCCTGACAGAAAAACAAGGGATAGAGAAAATGACTGCAGAGAACACTTTGTGCCCTCTGGAAGTCAGACATTTATTCTCAATAGTCCCCTCAGAAGCACTTTTCTCCTTAGCAGAGAAAATAATAGCAATAGCAAATAAAACAAAGCAAGGCCCTTTTGATTTGCATCTTGTCAAGTTTCACTTCCCCCACAAGCAGAGCTGTAGGGACTCTAAAATGAAACATGACTAGTATGAATAGAACAGGCAGCTGTGGTGAAATCCCTGTAAAGGCACCATGGAGAACTCCTTCAGTTCTGATAGGTCTCTTCTCTCATGCATAGAGCAGCCACGAGCACTGTCCAAGTATTCCAATTTCCCTACAGGTCACCAGTCACGACAGGGGAGAGCTCTCAGAGCTCTTATTAAGAATATTTCTTGTATGAACTTAATTCCCTTCAGGCTTCTTGCAGGAGAAGTCAGCTAACCAAAAAACCAGTTGTAGCCTTCTTGTCCAAATTATTTGGCTGCCATTTCTGAATCCATTCTAGAACACCCACTCTACATTATTTTTATTTATTTCTGCCAAATTATTGCCTGAAATACCACTTCCAGTAGCTTATTGATTTGGGGTTTAGTGGAAAGTGTGGTAGGTTAGACCCCAGCCTGTGCCTTGGTGTGCCTTTTGAAATGCTTGTCTGTAACATGGCAATTAAAATACTTTTCTTGATATCCTTGAAGTGTGACTGGGGAGCCTGCGTTAGAGGATGCCACAGACAGCAAGAAAGCAGGAGCCTCGTGCACCCATGTCCAAGCTGATGGTGAGTTGCTGAACCCTGTGATTTGAACTTTCAGGGCACTCTGTGCTCAAAATGCACCTGTAGGTCGTGTGGGTCTACAGAAATATTCTTCTCCCAGTTGTATAGAATAGGGAAAGGAAGATAAAATCTAGGAGCCAAATCCAAACTTTGTACCCTACTATCTATTACCTGGCAAAGGCAAATGATTTGATGTTTCCATCTTTACTAAGGATAAGGAGAAAGGTTTGTGAACTGGCTTATGGCCAACAGTGCTGTGAGGAAAGCTCCCTGACTTCACTCACCTGCTGCTTTGTTTTTCCTGTCATTGCTGTTTTGATTTAAAGCTGCTAAAAGGACTCTCCCTTCTTAGGTACAGACAATGCAAAGGAGTACACAGCTGATGATCTCTCCAGAGAGAGGAAATTCTCTGAGGAACCGAAGGCTCCTGAGGTGAGCAGACACCGCTTCATGCAGGGGTGGTGCAGAACATACAACCTCCCCCTCCATCCTGGAGAAGCCCGTTGCCACTGGGAACCAGCTGGCACCCACGTCTGGAGCTCTGTCTCCTGCTGTAAGCTGTTGTCCCTGGCAATAAGGCATAATATGTCTGCAATTAGTGCGCAGTCTGCTCTGACTTGCTGCTTTGGTACCTCTTCTGGCCTGTTCCTTACCTACTGCTGCCTATGGATGGGGCATTCATTAAGATTTTTGTATTCAGCTGGAAAGATGGAAAGCTGAATTGAAAGAGTTACTTAAAACTCCATATGTGGAAGGCCATAGCTAAATACATCTTTCATATTGTTAAAGGGCAAGTGTAAAAAGATTCAGGTGGTGTTAAAAGATGCAACCTGAGAGTCTTTTGCATTAAATACATGGCCCCCATGCTGGATGTTACATCAGGGCTTTAGGCTGTGTGAAGCTGTGAGCAAAGATTTAACCTCAGGTGTGAATCAGACTTGACAGGCTTCCATAATTGGAAGACATTTATTGATGTGATCAAATGTATCATTCTGGCCTTGTCTGAGTTCCTCACTCCATCATCAGGTGTTGTGCTGAGTAGGCTTTAGTTTTGCTGTGGAGAAACATGAGCTGATTGTGTCCCTTAGCAACAATTGTTTGTGGCTCCATTCCCCAGAGACTGGATCATACAGTGGCTGCAGAGGATGCAGAAACAACCATCTGTGCTAGTAGGACTGGTGCTATGACACAGGGATTGCTGATTTAGCAGCTTTGGGAGGAGTGTGTATGAGAGTCCTTCTGATCAGCCTCCTGTGGGTTCAAGCTCAAGTGCATTTTCCTAAAGGGTAAAGAGCTTAGGTGACATACAAAAAGGAGGTGTAATTTTTAGAGTCTTCTACTGAGGGATTGAACTTAATGTTGACTCCTTCTTTTGGCAGGTGTTGAGCTCTGGAGGTTCATTGAAAGTGACTATTCAGCAGAGCAGTGAGAGCAGAGCTATCAGTACAACAGCTCTGAAACCAGGGCACTGGGCCTGTGACGTGGGCACAGCTGATCCCAACCCGGAATCAGTCCTTAAATTCTACTGCTACATTTGCAAGACTAATTGCTGCAGTCAGCAGGTAAAAATGCACAGGTCTGACTGGGATCCAAGTGGTCAAGAGATGGGAATTAGATGGATGACTGTGAAGGGGACTTGTTAGCAAGGGCTCATACTTTAGGAACAAGGAACATAAGAAATGATGACAAGTATGCAGATAAAATAAACCTCTCCTGAGAGCTGGCAAACAACCTGCTAGAGGGAGAATGTGGGTGGATCCACAGGCAGCCATGCTCTTAAGCTTTTATATTTCATTGTTAAACAGCAGTCAAAAGAAAGGAAAGCATAGCTCATAGCTATTATTTTCTATGTTTTGGATACATTTAAAAGGATTTTTCTCCTAACTTCTTTTTCAGAATTTCCAATCCCACATGGCTGGAATTCAGCACCAGCAGCGACTTGGGGAGATTCAGCACATGAGCAATGTTTGTTTTGTTTCACTACTGCCCATGGTGAAACAGCAGAAGGTGCTAGCAGGAAAAGATGGGTAAGTGTTAGTCTGCAGTAGAAAATTCGATCTGAATGTGGCCCTACATGGGTTTTAAAATTCTTCACTGCACCAGGGTGCCTCTCAGTTTTAGGTAAGGTACAAACCCTTCTGGTTTCAAGGGCCTTAATCTCACTTAGGCAACTTTTTATCTTGCTGAAGGATACCAGAGCTGACTTTGACCTGTGTAGTTTTCAATACAGTAGATTAAGTAGGAGACCTGTTTTATCTGGTGCATTTCTGTCAGCACAAGCGAAAGCAACTTATAAGTGGGTGAGAAGGAGAGAAGATAAATCCAAGCCTGTAAAGATAGGAATTGTGAAGAAAACAATGCCAGGGACAGATTGCTAACTGCAGTATTCCATGGAGAATGCAAAGGTGTGACTTACAGCTCTATCTGTTGTCACTTCAGAGAGACCCAGCAGCGGTGGTGTAACACATGCCAGGTGCATTTCACAGGGGACCTCATCAAACATCGCAGGACCCAGGAACACAAGGTAACAGCCATAGTGTGGACTTCATTTTACACTGACCTTTATTGTGGGGGTTAAATGGAAGTGTGTAGCATCTCCTGCTCCCCAGGCAGCAAAGGAAAAGTGACTGGAGGGATGCACATAAAGTTCCTCTAGTAATTCCTTCCCTAAGGACACTGCAGTGCTACCTCCTGCCTCTGGCATTGTTGGAGCTTCCAGTTGTCATAACATGTCAGTATGGCCTGAGGCACCTCTAGTATGTAATTGACTTTTCTTAAGAAATATGATTTATCATACTCACCTAATTCATTGAATGGAGGAATTGGTGGACAACTTCTTTAAGCTAAACTTCAGGCAGGCCAGCATATTTATTGACTTTTAGGGAAGAAGTGCCAGAACACCTATTTTAAGACTCACTTATTTTTGTGCTGCATGTTTTTCATCTTTTTGGTGGATAGAAGTTAGAGAGTCCTTTCTGCTGAAAAGACTATTTTCTTTGTGGTCTCCCAGGATGTGGGGCTGGCTTTGTTTCAAGATTCATCTGCATTCATCCAAAGCAGTGCCTCTTGTGACTTACAGAATTTTCTCTCTTTCCTTAGTTGGCCAAACGCTCGCTTCGTCCTTTCTGCACTGTCTGCAGCCGGCACTTCAAGACCCCTCGCAAGTTTGTGGAGCATATGAAGTCCCCCGAGCACAAACAGAAAGCCAAAGAGGTGATACTGCCTGGGGTGGAGAGCTGTGCAGGTCTGGAAGCAGCTACACTGTAGAGTAGGATAACTTTCTCCTTCCCTGACTACTGCAGGACTGCAAGGAAGATGTGCAGTTCTTCCAACCCTGTTTTAATTTTCATTTTTTGCTGAACTTCAGATGTTAGCACTGAAAGTTAATTGAAAAAGGGAGAAGGTGTTGAATGTGTCCAGAAGTAAGAGAGCTTTATGCCCCTCTTGTAGTCCCTACTACTTATCATATACAGTCTGTCCTGAGTCTGGGCTCTACCTTGGGTAAATGGCAAGTGCAAAGTTGATCTGATCTTTCTTTTCTGTACCTTACAGGTTAGACTAGGAGAGAAGGAGTTGGGGAGCCCAGAAGATTCAGAGGAGTTGATCACTGTGGATGCTGTTGGCTGTTTCGAAGATGATGACGAGGAAGAGGAGGAGGACGAGGGAGGAGCTGGTGAGGAGGAAGACCGAGATGTAGTGCTGATGGAAAATGAGGATTCTGCTGCCAAGCAGGTATGCTGTGCGAGATAAGAAGGAATTACCTATCTGAGAATCTGCTGTGGGATCCTATGACTTAGTTGGTCTTGGCTGGTTGAGCTCAGGCTTTCAAGAGTCTGCTCAACCTTGCATAGCAGTAGGGTGGAACTCTAGGGTTCTTCCAGAACACAGGGTGATGCAGATGAGAATCGGGTAGTATGTGTGAGATACATGAAGGTGTTTCTGCTGTGCTGTACAGCTTCTGCTGTCTTCAGACATTAACCTCATTGAGGAGCACAAAGCAGTATTTTGACATAGTCTCCTTTAACAGCCCAGCAGTAGCTGTGTCTGATAGCAAAAGTGTAGAGGTTTATCTTGACAAATACGTTACCAAGAAGGAGGTACATGACTAAGCTACTTCAGGCTTGGAGTGGAAGGGGGGATTTTAACCCTTGTAATGAAGTGGTCTGCTGATACTGGGGTTTACATGTGCCCCTAAGCAGAGGCTGTGCAACTCTGTCTCTAGTATGTGAATCCTGTTTTGCTCCCAAGCTTACCAGAAAAATGCAAGAGCCTGGCAATTGCCATAGCTGCAGTAGGCACTAATGTTCTTCTGGTTTTCAGGCTGGGCTGAAGGAAGTGTCTTTGGAGGATTACGAAGGAAGTGAGAAGTATTGTCCAGACACAGCCTATGGTAAGCAAGCAGAGTTAAGCACAAAGGGCCACAGAGCCTTCTCTGGCCACATGCTGTATCTGTAGGGGAGGATGGTCTGTACCTACTGTTATAATGACTTTTTGGGCCACGGTGCTCCAGCATCTGCATTGGACTGATGCATGTCACTGCTGCTGGGAGAAGAACCTCTCCTGGGAACAGGATGTTTCTTTATTACTGTGTGATAAAACATAAGGATGTGATTGATGTTTGTCAACTGCCTTTTGCTTTGAAGACGGATGAGAGCCAGATAAGGTAGGACATAGAACGAGCAGGGCAGGAATACTGAAGAAAGTAGGTAGCAAATGAGGGATGCTCTGGAAAGATGGAGTCGGAAAGCATATTGATTGGAATGCTTTCCAACAGAAATGCAGCTTGCAGAGAGATACTGAGCATCATTGACAGTATCAAACTCTCTGCTAGACCCAAACTGTGCATGTTTCCTCCGCTTCAGAACCCCCACGCTGTACCAAGCAGTTCCTCAGCCGTGCTGCTGGCCTGGTGGGCAGTGGTGCCTCCAGATGGCTGTGTCTGGTCCCCACCCTGTAAGCAACTGACTTCAGACCCTTAAAGGCCACTCGTGTTTGAGGAGGGCAGCTCTGCAGAGGCTGTTTTGTGCCCAAGGAGAGCTCTGTTTACACGAATCTTCCATATCGCTGTAACCTTCCACTATCGTGTGGCAGATGGAATAATGATTCATGCTGTGAATGTTCTCTGCGTGTTCCTCTTGCGCGCCTGCTGTCTTCTGCTTGGTTTGATCCCATTACATTAGATCACATGTTCTCTGTAGTTTTCCATTGTATTCTCTTTTCCCCCCCTTAATGCTCTGTGTAGTTTCTTTGCTCTGGCAGCCAGATTTCTCTCTGAATATCAACCACAGCCATTCCATGGTAAGACGAGATATTCAGCAAGTCATCTTGCAAATCCCTGATTAACAGAAGCAAAGCTTTCCACCTCTACTTTTTTACCCCCATCCCCCTTCTCTTTTAACATGCTTTCATTATTTGAGTTCCATTCAATGTGATCTGTGATTTCCCTTCCCCTCCCGTTTCGCAGGCCTGGATTTTCTGGTCCCCGTCGCAGGTTACCTCTGCAGGCTGTGTCACAAATTCTACCATAGCGACTCCGCTGCCCGGCTCGCACACTGCAAGTCCCTGATGCATTTTGAGAACTTTCAGGTTAGACCCTTTGGCGATTGCATGGCCTGGCATTTGTTACCCCTGTGCGTGTCTCTCTAGTGAATCCACCACGTTAGCTGTCTTGTCTCCAGCTCATTTCCATCATCCTTGGTGTCCATTATGCCATAGCTTTCTCCTGGTGTGCTCTGTCTTTGTCTCCCTTGGCCCTTGTAGATCTAAAACCAGTTAAGTCCTGCTTCCCAGCTACTGCTGCTATCATCTTTTTGCCTGTTTCTGGCTGGGAATCTTCCTCAGAGTGTCCGCTCTGTTTGCTGAACCTGTGGAGTCTGTCATTTAGTCTAGGCCTCTTCCCTGTTAGATTACAGGTTGGTCAAGGTGGGATTGAGCAGGAGAGAGAGGCTGTTCCTCATAAAGAAAGCTGGTGCATATGCATCTCCAGGTGTGATACTTCAAGAACAGCTCCTTTAGCCAAAAGTGTGGGTGTGATTCATCCAGGAAGAGGCCTGGTAAAATCAGATACCTTAGAAATCTGAAAATTTAACATTACAGACTCTTTATGTGATAGAATCTACAAGCTGGTGAGAGTCCATTTGTCCCCAGGGTCAGCCTGCAAGAGGAAGTTTGTCTGTCTGCCTGTCTGCTACCCTTTCCTAGAAACTCCTTAGCACAAAGCTCTGCAAACTGATGCTGTTCCTTTGCTTTTCTGGTTCCACCTAAAGAAGCCATATTGCCCCTTGCTGCTTTCCTATCTAAAGCTTTTCCTACTGGGCTGGCCTGGAATCTGCCTCTATTGTTCTGTCCTTGTTGACTTGGCAGGGGGTGAGGGGCCTGGATTAGCGCTTGTGGAGAGTACGCAGGGCTTGCACTGTTTCTGCCCTGTCCTGTGACCTCCTGTATGGGAGAGCACTGTTCCCGGTCCTTGGCAAGGAGGGAGGCTCCCATATCGACTTTGTCCTCTGCCTGCACCCACAGTCTCCTCCCAAAAACTGTTGTGCTTCCCTACTACCTTTTAAAATAGTGTTTAAAAAAAACCCAAACACACATGCACAAACACACACCCCTAACCCCAAAAAATTCATGGGGTTTTTTTTCTAGTCTTCAGACAGAAGAAACTATTCCTAGTCAGCCATCACTGCCTCCAGGAAGGGGTGGAGTGCTTTAGAATTCTGCCAGCACTCAGAGCAGTGGATTTGGAATGGGAGGAGACCACAGTTGTTCCTTCATGGTTGCTCATCCTCTCCCACTCCTGAAGCTAGTAATTTCAGGAGTGAAGGAATTTGCCTTGCTGTTTTCCTGGCTTGTTTTAGATCAGCATAGAGTGAAACTGTAGCAGCAGTCACTTATGTCACTCTTCTGGCTCATTTAGAGCTGAAATCAGATGCTGTTCAAATGCATGCCAGAGTGACCCGGGGAGTTCATGAGAAGAGTCCAGACCTACTTATCTGCAGGCAGATAACTATTATTCTTGGCTGCCTGGGTGCCTTGGGGTTGTCGCAGTCTGAGTTAAATCACTGCCAGTTGCTGGGATATTCTCAGCAGAGTAGCTCAGCAGAGGGTTTCAAAGCAGTGAATTGTGTTGAGACAACAGCATCATTCTGGACACCAATTTGCATGCCTGCACCTGCTTAGGTTTGGGTACAGTATTACTTGACTGATCCAATTCCAGAGTGAGATGATATTGTTCATATCCCACAGGTTGAGGACAGAGGAAGATCAAGTCTGCAGCAATAAATTGAATTACAATGTAAAGCTGCCTGTCAGATGTGCTGCAATTCCACATTGCAGACTGGTGAAAGCCCTTGTGCTCGAAATTGTTTCTTTAAATTGTCAGGTGTAATGCTAGTGCCAGGTCAAGGAACCCTTCAGCAGGCAGCTGAAAGGGAGTTGATTATGAAGGGAACTGCTGTGGGAAAAGAGGGAACTTCAGCTTGTTCCTTTAGGTCATGCTCTGTCTGGGCATTGAAGACTGGGTTATGTCTAACACTGCTATATGTTAGCTAGCTACAGTGAGTTGTTTTCCTGAAATCCAGTCTAGAACATGCGTAGTAGCTGTTTTAATCTCTTTACAGACCTCTACTGGTTCATCATGATAGTGAGTGCAAATGAGTCATTTTATTGATGATATGCTTACCTTTACTCTGTGGAAAACCTCAGTGACTTGTAATGAGATATAACTGATATCACAGCCTTCCTGTCAACAGTTCCACTGACCGTGCAGATTGTATCAACAGAGTGAAGAAATACTAAGCTTTCAGCTTAAGCCTTGCTTTGGCTGATAAACATTAAATCACACTAGTAGCTGAGGGCTGTGCAGAGCCTCACATGCCCAGGGTACATGTCCTGGCAGTAGCTGAAGCAGGAGCTGTCACTTGTACTGTTACATCTACAGAGTCCTGAGTCTGACTGAGATTAACAGTTGCCAGATCATGATTTCTGTCTCAGGAGCCAGAGGTCTGCCATGCACTTGCTCAGCATTAAGTAATGCAAGAGGGACTTCAGTTTTTAATATCACTTTTCCTCACAGGAGCTGACCCTTCTCTGTTGAGAGCCTCAGCAGCCAGGCCAGGAGCTGCTGAGATCACTTGTGCCCCTGCCACTCACCACTATTTTTGTACAGGTGTTCCTGGACCAGCTGCTGCTTTGCTGCAGTGACAGGAGCTGAGCTGGGCTTCTCTCTCACGTTGGTTTGTTTGTATTTGCAGAGATACAAGGCAGCAAGGCACCGTGCCACAACTGCCTATCCCGAAGCTCCTTTGCATTCCCAGGGCTCCAGCTCCCAATTGCTGGATGATCCAAAACAGCCTCTTGCTACAACAGCACATACCAGCAAGAAGATGAATGATGATGGTGGGATAGATAAGGAGGGCACGGAGCTGTCAGCCCTGCAAGAACAAACTTCAAGGTCTCTGGAGGGTAAGGGTGAGCTGGCCACCTCTAGGCCAGAGGGCAAGAGCCTGGCCAGTGTGACTGATGATGTGTGTGGTATCATGGTTGTAGAAGAAGAAAGTCTACAGGAAGAGAACAAGTCCACTGCCAGTAGTGCCGACTGCCTGTTCTCTGAGGAGAGCCACACCGTAGGGGAGTCACTGGGACGTGAGGAAGAGGCCAACACAGCCAGGCAGAGGGCAGACACAGACGACCACCAGGATCCAGGGAGTGGAGGAGGCTTAGGACAGGAGGCAGCAGATGCAGGCCAGGAGGCAGCAGCAGAGCCTTCCTCCCTCGCCAAAGGTGAGACAGCCGGTCTCACCTCTGCTGGGTGCAGACGCTCTTCCAGGCGCAAACCCAGATAGAGTGGCCTTAAAGGAGAGCCCTTTACATATGATATTTGCTGGAAATGTTTATTTTCTGAGTCTTTTAATAGAGCAAAACCTTCAACTTTACTGCTGTTTTTATTTTAAGAATAAATAAGCCTGGCTTTAGCGTGTCTAATACAGGATAGTGTTGCTTATTACTTGTACAGTTGGGATACAGCAGTTATGTGGAAAGACTAAGGCTTGAACCTGAAAGAAGATGGTAATGGGATTTCCACAGGGGACAAACTTCACGGAGTGATGGATGCAGACATAAGAATTCTTTGTAGTTCCTCTCATTTCCTTTCCGGAGACAATGTTTATCTCTTGGGAGACTCTGCTGAATTCTGCTTCTCAGAACACTTTCCTTTCTAAGACACACACTGTTGGACAAGCAGTCTTGGACAAGTCCTAAGCTAGGCAAGAACATGCACCTTGGTCCTTTGTTAATACTACAAGGCTTAATCCAATCTGTTCTCATAGTGGAGACTCTCAGGAACAAATTTTGTTTCAAATTGATTTTAATAAAACAGATTTCTTTTAAATAACCTCTTTAACTTTCAAAAAAACTCCTTTAACTCTACATAAGCAGAACAGTAATTGTTGCTTCCAAAGTGCTGGCTGTAGGACATACTGACAAGACCACAAGGTACAGACCAAACGTCTTGTGCCTTGTCAGAATGTACAAGGAGGGCTCTGCTCTCTATTGCTAATGCTGTGATGGGGGCTAACCAGGCTGCTCTGCCCCTTTCTACACCTCTGTCCTTAATGGCAGCTGAAGGAGTGGTGCAGCTCCCAGTTACAGTGGTCAGAAAGATCACACCAGTAGCTTGTCTTATCTGCTTGGAATGGAGTGGAAGTGTCCAATGATCTGGAACCACGTGCCAATATTTGTACATCACAGTTAATGTGACTAAGGGAGAAGCTGTGGCTTCAAGGCAGCAGCTGGCCTAGGCCCTCCCTCTCCAGGGCTGTCATCAGTTAGACTTAGGGACAAGCCTGAAGTCAGGACAGCCCCTGCCAACTGTGCTTTCTGAGGGAAAGGGGGTTGAGCCATAATACTCCTTGCTTGGATTTAAGGAAAAGAGAGCAGAAATAATTTGTCCACTTTGTCAAGAGGGCCTGCCTGCAAACTACCTGCATGGCCTCAGGTTTCCTACAACCAGCATTAACCAAGTTTGAGTGCCAGGCTTATGTTGGGGAGCAGAAAGAACCAGCTCTCCTATACCCACCCTTGTGCTTCTGCACCCGTCTCACAGCTAAATGAAAACAGAACATGAATGGCAGGATACAAACACAGAAAGGAACAAGTAACAGACACGAGGCACCTCTGCTATTCCAAGTTTTACATTAAATTGGTGACCAGTAACTGTCCCCTTAGCAACAGCAGCTGAGGGTGTGTGGTCAGACTCTAGGCAGGAGGCTGAGATCCCTGCACATCAGCTCCACTGTTCAGCTGCTTGTTCTGCTGCTGGAACTCCAGACGGGTCTGGCGGCTGCACTCCAGCAGTTCCTTCAAGCAGCCGTGTAGGTGATCATTCTTCTCCTCCAGGTGATCCAAGCAGGAGTTGATCTGGTCCAGCATAGAGTTTATTGCTGCATATTCTAAAAGCAAGGGAAATGAGAGGCTGAACAATGTAAATAAATTGTCACTGCAGTCAAAGGAGGCCACGAGAACTCTGACGAAACATGCCCACAGCATTTTGGCTGTGCCTTATTTACCCCTGGGTGGGTGAAGTGCAACTGAATCCTGCATGTGGTCTGTTCCCTGATCAAATTAGGCCAATGGGAAGCTGTAACACTGGTAACAAGATTTAAGGCAAGGTACCTGGGCAGTGCAAACCCTTTGTGAACACATCTGAGAGCCTCAGATCTCACACACAAACAGCCAACCACAGACTGAGTGCTGACTGCAACGTTACCAGATAAATCCCAAAGACAAGGCAGCCTTTTTAGCTTCCTTTGGAATCATCTTTCCTGATAGTACAGGCATTTTGTCAGCATGTTGCAATGTTTATTTTCTGTGAATTATTTGGATAAGGCTTCCAAGCTGGGATGTGCTTCACTCAGGCCTGGCTGGAGTCAGGCTGCTGTAACAGTGCAGCTGTCATGGCTGTGGCAGGAGGAGGGGATGAACCCAAAGGTGCTGGTAGTGGCACCACTATTTCCACAGGAAGGTAAGTGTTGGGCACCTAGTTCAGACACAGGATTTTCATGCTCTGTTAAGGCTTTGGGTACTTCAGATTAAACCTAGATTCACTCCAGATGATCCTGGCAGCTGGTTCTGTAGGTACAGTTTCTTACCCACAGCATTGTATCAAGTGCAGCGGTTTGTTTCAGCACAACAGCATTTCACAGTGGTGTGTGTTAGCACTGCTATTCAGCTGAAGAGTGCTGTGCTCCTGCAACACTTGTTTTTGGATTGCTTCAAGCAACACCCACACAATCCTGAAGAATAACAAAAACCCAAACTTAAAAGACAAGATAAACTGCTGAGTTTACTCAGGACACCTGGAAGACTGCAGGGGATCCCAGATGGAGCCAGTCCCATGTTCCTTTCTGAAACTGCACAGCTGAGTGAGTGCAGGGAGGCAGAGGTGGAGCTGTGTGTGACCTGTGGGCTGATGTTTGTGAGGATCATGGGTTGCAGGACAGGGAAGGATGCCTGTGGGCTGATGTTTGTGAGGATCATGGGTTGCAGGACAGGGAAGGATGCCTGTGTGGGTGGGACAAGCTCACACCTCGCGGGCAGGGGCTGGCTTTTCTCCACCCAGCTCCTCTGAGCCCAGGGTGATACTCAGTGCCTGGAATGCTGGGCTGTGCTGAAAGACATGGAGAGAGGAAGGAGGATGTGGATGTGTTCTGGGCACCCTAGGAGGGTCAGGCTGTGCTGTCCCCCAGACCAGCTCTGCCTCTTTGCCAGGGTGTCCTGGTGCCCCAGCACACAAGGTCCAGGCAGCTTTAAAAGAACTGTGAATATTTAAACATTGATGTCATCTGCATTATTAATAGCTAAGAAGTTTCATTATAAAAAAATAATTACCCTCCTTTTCTTATAACCACTTTGGAGCCGTTCAGAGTGCTGCAGCCTTTAATTCTTTGGAGAATTGTGTAATATTGCATTTGAGCTCATTAATAAAAGTTTGGCCTTGCAGGTATACACAGAGGTGGCATTATGAGCAAGAGCACTGATGATGTTCTTACATTTAAAAATCAATCCCACAAACACATGCTTTCCAAAAAGGTGGCAGTTATCAGCATTTTTAAAACTATCAGCATTTTTCAAGATCTGTGAGTTACAGCTTTTCAATTTGATGCACCATATTCCAGTGAAATGGTGAGCAGATCTCAAGCAGACATGGTAACTACTTCTGGCAAGGACCATTCATCAGCTTGGCAAGAAGTCTGCAATTACAGCAGAAGCTTATTCTCAGTGCCTAAAACTCAAATGAAGGTTATATAATTTGTGCAGCTTTGGGAAGTGAAAAGAAAATTAACCATTTAAAATTAAATTAACCATTTAAAAATAAGCTGTAAAAACAAGCTGTAAAAACCTTTTATTTTATTGTTTTCTGTTAGTTGCATGGTGGATTTCTATGGAAATAACTACGTCTCTATTGGAAACACTGAAAAGGAGTATGGCAATTGCATTAACTCCCCTATATTCTTGCAAGAATAGTTGACAAAAATCAAGTTTCCTACTTGAGATGAAGGAAGAGATCCACAGCTCCACTAGACCAGGAAATAGCTGCAGCCCTTTATGACCAGTTACTGCACACAAAGCAAATTAATTACAAGCTGAACAACCCAATTAGGACATAAATCCAATTCAGTGACTTTTTCCATCACATCCAACATGTCTTTTAGCTCTTCAAAAAATAGGAAATGCAAATCACTGTGATGACGCAAAGCAGTGAATGCACTTGGGGTATTTCAGGGCAGAAATGATTGTCCTGTCACTGCAGCTAGATCCCAGACACAACTCCTAAAATCACCTGTGTGGGTCACATCTAGGAAACAGTATGTTTTGGGAAACAGTAGAACCCAACTCCACCATTTTCAACAGAAGGGTAGAAAAGTGCTTATGCTGAAAGAATTCTAGTTTTAAGAGTGACCTCTACGTCCACGTAACTACTCTCCTGCCATCTCATTTTTTCCATGGGCTGGTTCTAACCAGACAGGGCAGTATCAGAAACTTCATACCCAGGCACTGCAGAATTTGTGGAATTTGCCAAGCTACCTGCATTAAATTCCCTTTTTCCATGCATGGCTACTTCTCCCAGATCCGCCCATGTGATCTGCCCCGTGATTTCGAAACCTGAACATCCTCTTTCCTGACATCCGCACCCCATACACCAGCAAAGCCACAAAATAATTTTTTCACAAGAAAAAAACATCCACCCCAGGGCAACACGTCGGTGCCTCATGGCTGGGTGGCAATTAAACCCTGCAGCCCCTCGGCCACGCTACCGTATAGCGGGTGCATCGCTGGCGTTGGGCACCGCTCCCGGCAGAACATCTGGGCACACCTGGCCACACCTGCGCACACCTGCGCTCTGCCACCCGCAGAGCAGGGGACCAGGCCAGGCCATCCTGCACCACGGGATCCCCTCCAAGATCGCAGCCCCGTTCTACCCCCACGCACCTTCCTCCTCGAAGGTGTCGTCGCCGTCGCCGTCGTCGTCGCCGTCGTGGCCGGTGCCGCCGCCCAGCACGTGCGGGTCTCCGTTGGGCCCCGACATCCCGCCGCTCCCGCCCGCGCCTCGGCGCCGCC